ATATATATATATATATATATATATATATATAATTCAATAAGAATTAGAATCTACGTGACCCAATTTGTATCACGAATTATGAAACACCCTGTATGTATAAGAATACGCGTTCGTATGACTGAGAATATGCTCGTCAGCAGTTCGGATAATGAAAGTTCAATGATGAGTTCGTATAGAACATTAATTCGTTCATATAAACAAGATGCGGATAAAGGAGGTTTTCCTTCACGTCAAATTGACTCCATATCTCTACAATAGTTATGACTCGATGGCAAATCGACTTAATATCAATCATGGTGACTTCGCATCAAATTGACTCCGTATCGCTCCATAACACCACTATTTACACACACATATATGGAGTCAGTTACACATCGAGTCACGGTTATTGACAGCGCTCTATTTGGCATCAAGTCACCATTGATTGATACGGAGTCAATTTGACATCACTCTATCATTAATGATATCGAGGCAACGGTGACCGCTGGAAGAGTAATGACAAATAGGATAATAATCAAATTCTTCAAATTCTTCAAATTCTTCCGCAGAAATCTGCACGGAGCGAGGAGAGGGGACGACGGACGATGATGAAAATAACGCGACGTTGTCGTTGTGCTGAAACCTGGAGAAAACTTAGAAAATTATCAGAGTCTCGGGGGGAGCTTGGATATAGAGGGCGACGATAAGGGCGGGCCGGGATATTTTCAACAATTTCGCAGGGTGAGACGAATTCCGTCCCCGAAACATCGTTTGGCTTCTTGCTCGCGACAGAAGCAGTCCATTCGCTCGCTCGTGTGACACGTGCATCCATTACAGCGTCCGTTTGCACATTTCTCCGGCTCGTCCGAGCACGATGAGCACTCTCCGTTATTAGAACTAGAACAACGATGATCTCAGGCAAATAGGAAGTGGCGAACATAATAGCGTGACAGCGAAAGACACGGCCGCGATCACGTTCAAACAAACCCAACCCTGCGACGTACATACTCGTCGGTCGACATTTTAGTTCGCGCACCCTGTCCCGTTCCTTCGGCCCGCAGTTTCGGAACTTTAATATTTCTCGGTTGAAATTGTCAAGACAAGAATCTGCAAATGCAACGATTTTCCAGGAAACGGGATCTTTACTTTTCGTCCTTGATTCTTGAAATAACGGCGACCGCTGGTGGCAAGAGCGAAAGATAAAGAAAGGAAGGGAAAAGCAAGCAGAATTCGGACTGTGGTCGATAGGAGCTGGCGCCTTCCATTATCGCGACCTTGCTTCCTTGCTGGCTCCCCGGATCTTTTTTTAACGCACGGAATAGGCAACTCGGACGCTTAAATTGCTTCGTTAAATCGTCGAAGGCGTCGTCTTTCCTTTTGTCTCCGTTTCCTGCACTCGATTGTTCCTCCTATCGCGTTGCTCCTCGTCGAAGAACAGTTTGGATAAAGGGTGGCATGAATAATGTAATCCGTACAACATCGGCCGGGCAAGGAAGATGGACGTAACTAGATACAAAACACGAGGGTGCAACGGCGCGGTGTTGTTCGGGTCTTCGTGTACGCAGACGAGACAACGACCAGATACCGAGTGTTTTTCCATTCGATCGCCGATGATTTCTCTTTCTATGGGACTTTCTCTCCCCCGCCCCTCTCTCTCTCTTTCTTTCGATGGTAATTGCTCGCGGGTAATTGAATGAAAAATTCAAAGAAATCCGTGTCGAGTCGCTGCGCGTGAATTTTGCAATATTTAGACCTTCGTTAAAATAATTTCAATCTGAATTTTTTGCTCGTTCACTAATTCGCCCGCGAGCACTTATTCGGCACGGTAGGTCAACGGTCAACGCGTGAAAAATATTAAAAAGTTATGGTTCTGTCCTGTCGGTTTTTACGGAGTTCCAAAAAAAAAAAAAAAAAAAGAGTCGTCATCGAAACCATAAGCGGCACGGATCCTTGGCTCGTTTGCGGGGAACGCCGGTAAGTGGCGACCTAATAAAACGAAACGCGAAGTAATATTCTGATCGAATGTACCAGAGCTGGCAGAATAAACGATAAAGGCGGGTTTTTAATCACCAGGTCGCCCTGATAACGGGAGAGACTTTATTGCCCCGTATTTTCAGTGACTCGAACGATTCAAACAACAACGAGCCAGCATCGCGGATACGACCTGCAATAATCCGACCACAAAAGGCAGCAAAGCGAGTCAGCGGCTGTTGGATAATCTGCGATCCTCGGCGTTCGTCGGCATCGTCGTTACACCGTTCTCGGATGTATTGCTTATTGTAATGACAAGCGAAACAGCGGCGCCCCTTGACACGATCTCGCGTAAGCGAAACTGCCTCGTTCATCTCAGGATTTACAAGCTGGATAATCTTGATTTCTAATTCTCTAAAATCCACGAGTCCTCGATTCTTGAGTTCCTAAAATCTGGATACTCTACGATACCCAATTTTTTTTTGGAATCTAGATACTCCCAATTTCTGATTATTCTCTAATTTTCTAAAATCTGAGTACTCTAAGTTTCTAATTTCTTAGAATCTAAATACTCTCGACTCCTAATTTTCTTGAATCTGGATATATATTCGATTCTTAATTTTTTTAAATCTGGATACTCTAGATATCCAAGTTTTTAACATCGAGATGCTCCTAACTTCTCATTTTTCTCAAATTCGGATACGCAAGATTTCCTATTTTGTAGAATTTCGACAGTCTCGATTTCCAATGTTCTAGGATTTTTAGATACGATTGTGGCGGACCAGACATAAAAAGACACTCCTTCAAAAACGGGGTGTGCATATGCCTTTTTCGGGTTTTCCCGGCGCAAGGCGTACACACCGCAATAAAACAATAAAAACGTTGGGACACAGCTTCGGACCATAGGTCCCGGATCACCCCGGTCGGAAAATCTTCGGGAAAGGCCTTCGCCCTTCCCAAGGACCTTCCCTTACCAATTTCAATACGTTCTCCCCAATAAATACGAGGACCTCTCGACCGGGAGACGTCAGTTAGCAAGTTTTCCTCCGACTCTCAACGTGTTCATATTTCTGTCTCATCCGTCACTCGTTTACCTTTACCTTCTACACACTGTACCTCATCGCCTTTTGTTACAAGTTATATTAAAATTCTCGTTATATAAAAACCAAAGAAACTCTCTCGGATTATTTTATATAAACCGTCGCAGTAACCCCTGCGACAAACGATCGACTCCTAATCTTCTAGAATCTGGACGAATATCCGCGATTCCTGATTTTCGAAAATCTGGGTACTCTAGATTTTCAGTTTCTTCAGTTTTCGGGATTGTTTCGATCTCGAATTTTCTAGGATCTGTATACTCAGAATTTTCTAATCGGTAAAAAGGAACCATACGATCGGAATTCAACAGCAGTCCGAACAAGGACACGCCGGACGGTCGGCGAAATAGCAGGGCGCGTAAGTGCAGCAACCGCAATCGTTGCGAATGCAAAATTGCACGCGGGAGGCCGGTGGTTTTATTTTCGGAGGTGGCGGACACCGAATCGGTACAGGTGGAGGAATTGGCCGGCACTCGGGCATGCAAACGGGTCGTGGTCGAGGAGGTGGCTCCGGCCGTGGTCTGCATATCTATTAGCACAACTTCCTTGTTATCGTTGGATATACATAGCAACAACAATAAACGAGCGAGTTCGATGTTTAGTTTCATCGGAATCAACGGTGCGCGCCGCTTCGATAGTTCGCGTTCTACGGCGGTTTGTGCAAAAACAAATCTGAGAAAGAAATATAAACCGTGCTACCGAATCGATGAAACACGTACCAACGGTGGACACGAGGGTGGAGGACAGCAACATTTCGGAGGCAGACACGCTTGCGGAGGTGGACAACCGTTCTTTGGCCAGACGTAAGGGCCAGGCTTAGGGCCGTGGCAACATGGCGGCGGCAGGGTGCTGCACCGCCTTTGGCACGTTACAGGAGGGCAACGGGACATTCTCCAGTTGCGGTTTCTCGGTTGCACGCGAGACACCAGATCACATTGTTTCAACGCGGACAATTTTCTTGAATCGTTACACCGAAAAACAGCGCCACGAAAAGAATCGTCGGGAAATTTGCAATCGCATCGTGCCGAAATTGCGCGCCTTGAACTTCTCCACAAGCGAGGGCTTCTCCCGTGTTTTTCATTTCAACAAACTTCTCTACGTTCATATTGGATTTGCATTCGCCCGAAACGCAACACATTCGTTCACCCATCCGCGACATTTTAATCCTATCGACAGCTTAATCGAGTATCGTACTTTTTGGTTCGTGGGAATTTGCAGGAATTAGTTCGAGCACGGAATATTATTATTAAACAATAATATTAGAATATATATATATAAATACCAGAAAACACCGATCACCGAAAATATTCAGATATCGGTATGCCGCAGCAATCGATCCAGTTCGGACAACAATTAATTTTCTTCGCTGGCGACGGTTTTGGGAGAGGGCAAATTACCGGGCGCGGGTAATAGCACGGCGCGTATAGCGCGCTGTTAAAGAGCGGCGTGTCAATATCTTCGTTTGGATTTACGTGGCTGTTTCTTACTTGTCGCAAGTGTAGGTCAACTGAAAGCGAACGGAAGAAGTGCCTGTGGCGGGTGGCTGGATATTCAAACATTTCGGGCATCCTGGATCGCAGAGGTTCCTCGGAGAGCAGCGGGACGCCACGCTGGGAGGGTATCTTGCTAGCGCATCGCTCGTAGTCGTCATTTCTCTTTTTTTAATTGAAAGAAAATCTTTAGATGAATTTTGATCTGACGCTGAAAATTTTGATAGGAAATCGAACGGATTTCGATGGAGACGAACGATTAAGGTTAGCCGATACAACTTGAACGTGTTCCCAACTGACGTTAGTTTCAACGAGACAGCTCGTTTTTTGTCGCTAGCTAGAATTCGTGAATCGACGTCAAAGACGGAACGAATTTGTCGATTTGACGGCCGAGCACGTATCGCGTTAACGTGCGAACATTGATCGCATGGGAAAGGTAAGAAAAAAGAAACCAGAAGAACGGTTTGGTAATCACAACAGATATTATAATAAATTGTATCTTTACAGAGGCAGATACATTGTAAAACGAATAGGGATACTTTCACGTAATATACACGCAGTCGTACATTGATCTAGGAATCGATCGGCGACGCTATATACAACACAACCACGGAAGCGTGCACGATATACCGTCGAAATTTGCAGGCAACGCGGTTGTACGTTTCAATTTGGCACGCGGTGCACCCGCATCCTCTATTCCAGTGTCCCTGCGTGTACCTCCGAGTGAAAACGAATCCTAAATGCTCTCTATAGTCTTTCTCGCGTTTCGAACGAGACACTGGAATGTCTCTTCCACGGACACCAATTCTTCTTTGCATCGGAATCAAATTATTCTCAATCTCGAAGTCGACTAATTATTTTGATTACTTTCAGCTCCATGAGAAACGGAAACCAGTCAGGATATGCTTCTCCTTCCATCTTTCACGCACTCTCTCTCTCTCTCTCTCTCTCTCTCTCTTTCTCTCTCTTTATCTCTATTTCTCTTTCACTATCTTTCTACCCCTGTTTCTGACTTCGATTCTAACGAAAGTGAACTCGAACGAATAATTAATAAGTACATCGAGATATAAAAAAAAGGATGTATAAAAAGAAGACGGCAGAACAAAAAGAAAAGTAAGTACTTAGGCGATAGTGTTATAATAATGAATCACTGCGTTGTATTTTGTACACTCGCCACCGGTCCCTCTTTCCCCGAGTTCTCAATTAGAGCGAAGCTGCGCGATGTCTACGACATCCAAAGTAAATCAAAAGAAACAAGTCGAACATCGCACAGTTCAGCAGATTAAAGCACAGCGAGAGAACCTGCGCAACCGATCGACAATCTATCTTTCCCGTGTGATCATCGAAGAAAATCGAAGGAAGTCCTCGTCGATCGGTAGCTTCTCTCTACCCTTAGCGTCGCGTTTTAGCATACCCCGAAATCCCGGCGAGTCCAACACCGCTCCCCTTTGTCTCTGGCAAGCGCGACGTCGCGGAATCGCGATAACGCGACGCTAAAGTGGACAAACCGTGTCCGGAGTCAGTCGGCCAAACTGTCCGCGTTCGTTTTTAAGTACATCGATTCGACCAAGATTGTTCCGCTGCTCCGACGTAGAGTTTGGTTTCGGCGGTATTTGTTTTTTTGATTTGCGGGACGGACAGAAGGTGACTCGACTCGACTCGATTCGATTCGATTCGAGTCGACTCGGATCGAGTGCAAACCTCGCCAAAGGACACGCGTTCCGTTATTCGCCGGGCAACCGATCCCCCCCCTCGAAGTAGTGGCCATCGTCGAACTGTTGAACGTACATAGAAGCAACGATTCTTTTGTGCTAAGTAACGCCTATCGAGAACTATATACAAGATAACTTACAGATCGTAACGTAAAAAAGAAAATGTCGGCAACGAAGAACATCATTTGCCCTCTTGTCCCGGTTCGTCGAGAAACTTTGCTCGCACGCATACACGGTCGTCCATTCACGCTTTCTCTCATTTTCTCCACGATTTATTCGTACTCACCCCCCCCCCTCCTCCCAACTCTTCCGTTACAATTTAAATAACTACATTATGTACAATGCACATACGCGAATCGTCAAAGTTGACGATCGAACATGTACCCTTTCTCTCTCTCTCTTTCTTTCTCTCTCTCTCTCTCTCTTTCTCTTTCTCTCGCGCGCGCTTTCTTCCTCTCTTCCACGTTTCGCGATGAAATTCTCCTGCTTCGATAATGGCGACTACCCTCTCGTAATTCACACCCTTACCGTACGCCGACACCCGTCTCATCGATGAATTTGCACGAAAAATTGGTCGAACGGGAGCACGGAACGCAATGAAATGCATGGGACCCGATTCGCAGGTGGCGTCTACAGTTCGGACAAGATAAATGAAGTTCGTGTGTAAGCCAGTTTAGTCCAACATTAGCTCCAGAGCTTAACCTACGTTTACACTAAGGCACATGAAGCGAGACGTTTCTTCTGGAATAGAGGTCGCGATAAAGTAACTGATTTCGTACAATTATTTACAAACGATAATCGGTATCTAATCGCGAGAAACTGCGTCCGTCAAGGATAAGCTTGCGCGGTCGTTTTCAGCACCCGGTCGAGCATTGTACGATTCGAAGAATCTCGTATAGCGCGTTTGCTGCTTTCCTCTCGAAAAGAACCCGCGCAAACTTCTGAACGAATTGAGAAATTGCTCAGCTGGCTACTGGAACATCCAAGAACGGAGTCGCGAAACTTGCGAACGTTTCACCGGGGAGCGTACGGTAAGGGCTCGACCGCCGATTCGTTTCAAGAAACTGAGAATGTATCGGTCAACCGAACGGTAAAAGTTTTGCAACGCGATATTAATCCCTAATTGAGTGCTACGCGGACGTGGAAAGCGCCCTCGAGTCCCTGGGAGCGAGAGCAGCGAGTCGCAGGTCCACGAAAGCTCGGGAGTCTACCGAGTCAGGAGCTCGGAAACCCAAAAGCCTGTCGGGTCCATAGCTCCCCGAATCGCTCTCGGTCGAAGGGAATTTTAACAAGTGATATACACTATAACAATCGGTAACACAGTTTGTACTTGATGGAAGGAATATAGTGAGGTACTCGAGCCACGCTAAGCTGTCGCAACAAAAGGAGATGATTCGATCGAAGACACGGAACGCGAACTGCATAGCAACGAACTGCGCTGATCGCGAAAGGCTGCGCTTTAATCGCCTATTTGATATGTATACACGAGGAAGCAGTTCGATCCTCGCTTCGAGACTCGAGCGTACGTAGCAGCAGCAGCAGCAGCAGCAGCAGCAGCAACGAACAAAACCGCACCGAATTTGATCGTTCGTTCGAACGACCGAAACAAACTGTCGGGTACAGAAATTTCTTCTCTACCTCGGATTCTCTCAGGTCCACGGAGTGTCGCGTAGTCTCGAAGAGGTGTGCGCAAACCTCGAGGAAAAGTGTTTCAGCGCTCTAGTTATTTATAGTCTTGGAAAAAACCTCGTTATATTCCATCGAGCAAATACATGCAAGAACGCTAACGTTTTTCTCGTGCATCGTTGCCCTCGTTTGGGTCTCGCGAGACAACTCTCCCGAGCGTCGTTTAGTCCTCGGCGGAAGCACCTTGTTTGTGTCCTATTTGCGCACGCAGGATCGTCGAGCGAAACGTTGGCCTACGACGTTGGTCGTGGCCTAGCGATAAAGGCGATTCGCGACTCGATATTAGACAACAATAGCTTGGAACGTACTGACTTCTAACAACTTCGATATCTAATTCGCTTAAGTTTAACTAGGTGTAGTTTCATATTCTGCTGGCTAGGAAATCCAACGCGATCTAGGCGACTAGTCCCGTGGTTCTAGGCATGGTCGCCCGGAGCAACAAATCCGCAACAGCCGCCCGATTCCGTTGCCACGATTAAGTACTGGCCACGACTCGATGTCTATCACAGTCCTCCGCGACGAGTCCTACCTTTCGGCGAGCTCGTCGTCGGCCTCGCTGGTTGTCTATCCGAAAGTCTAGCTACCGCTCCCCGCCTCCGATTAATTCCTAATGTTCGACGACGATCGGCGGAACGTTCGTTCGCGTCTCTTCGCAAGTGTCACGCGGCTGTTAGCCGCCTCAACAGGAAAATAGTTTTCTCGCCACGAAGCCGAAACTATGCTAGGTTTTGTATCTCTTATATGGTTTATGCGTTTTCTTTTCTTTTCTTTTTTTTGTCTTTTTTGTTGATTTTATCGTTCTCGACGAAACAACGTGGTGCAGCGTAACTCTGGGTGCGTGTTTAATTTTGCGTGTTCATGCGGTACGACGGGTAACCGTTTTCTGGGAGTCTAAACTATTAATGTAGTCGAGACCAGCGTGTCTCGCGACTTATCAAGTATCTCGTGATAGACATTTAGGTAATAGTAACGACGTCAGAGCGACGTCATGGTATGAAACCATGGTTACACGGATCATCGTCTCGCGTTGCGTAAAGCGGTGACCAAACGGGCATGGTCCCTCCGTTCTCCGTACACTCCTAGCGTTTACATCGAAACCGAGGTCGTCGAGGCTGTGTGCGTGATCTACTCGTCTAGAAGAATGTTTTACGAATACGTGTTTTGTGCTTGGTTCGTCGTCCTCGTTGCTACTCTAACTATCTTCCCTCATCGAGATCGATGCGTCCTTCCTTCTCTCTGCGCGGCTCGGCGATTTCTGATCGATCCTGGCGATCGATCTCGCTCTATCCGGACTCCCGGCGGGATCCTTCCTCCTTTACTCGGGCTACCCTCGCGCGTAATACTCCAGGTTAATCGCGCGAGAGATCCGTACGCGATCGGGCAAGTCGTTACTATGTGCCCGAATGAAAGTACTTGACGACGCTGTTGATTAACTCCTGGCGCTACAATTGCACCTGGAACGCCTGCGTCGCGTTCGGCACGATGAAAGGATTCGTGGCACTCGATTGTCGCAGATTCCTCGCCGCGATTTCCGCCCACTCGGCGTCGAATGGGTCCGATGGTCCTGTTCTGCTGGGTTGGCTCATCGCCGCCGATCCTAGCGACAACGCTCTCGCGTGCAACGGCGGCGCTCGCCGAGGACTCGTTTGTCCTTGTCCACGCTCTTGCGTGGACCGCGTGGTTGGCGGCACCGAGCTCGTTATGCTACCCAGCCATTGGTCCGGCTTCGGCAAAGCTGACGTCGTCGAGACCGGTTGAACCTGAAAACGTTTGTCAACGTTAACGATCTTGGCACATTTAAAGCAAAGCCTGCGACGGATCTTAGAACCGCGTAGAAGGTTCGGCTAAACTGTAATACTAGGATTTTATGCATTTATGGCACAATCGAGTAGTTGCAATTTAATACTAAATCTACAAAACCAGCCAAAACGACTGGTTTTTCATTTCTTCTTTTTACGGTTCCTGATATTATAAAAATCTTTCTAGAAGAAATTTTTAAACTTCTTTATTCTGACACCACATATACAAGGTGTCCCAAAAATGTCTCGCAATCCGAAAGTAGGGAATTCCTGAGGTCATTTCGAGCAACTTTCTCCTTAGCGAAAATGCAATCCGCGGCTTCGTTTTACGAATTATTAACGAAAAACAGTGACCAATCAGAGGCGAGATCGTTTGGCGCGAGACGGTCGAGCCAATGAGCGGAACTAGGCTTCGTGCGCTCGTTGGCTGGGCCGCCGCGCGCCAGCCGAGCTCGCCTCTTATTGGTCAGTGTTCTTCGTTAATAACTCGTAAACGAAGCCTCGGTGAAAATTTTCGCAAAGGAAAAAGTTGCTTCGAATGAACCTCCCATTTCCGGATTGCGGGACATTTTCGGGACACCCATTATATTACGATAGAAATCGCATAAAGCTTAAATAAATCCAATCTTGCCATTGTCACGAAACGACGTACATTGCTCTCGTCGAGAGCTCCATAGTTCCAGTGTTAAAATAATAAAAATCAAAATTTCGATTAAGAAGTGTTTATAAAACGCTGGTAGAAGCTCATTATTTCTAATCATTGCATATTCTTTCAATTTTCTTTAAAACCTATCGCGTAAATGTGTTAGTTTTGGTCTGCGCCTGAATCTAATCAAATTTTGTTTCGACTCGGAAGAAGAAATCAATCACAGTCACATCTAGTAGATCGTGTGTACGAGATCTTCATCGCGAGACGAAGACTCGTTGTCATAGTTCAAAGGATTAATAAGCCGCAATTCGTATTCTTAACCCTTTCGCTACTACGGGTGACTATAGTCACCCGCCACAAAACGACACCCACATACGATGGGTGACTATAGTCGCTTGCCACAAGATGCCACCTATACACAACGGGTGACTATAATCACCGGTCACAACAATGGAGCCAAAAGTTAAAACAAGGGCTATCGCCTCGCTTTCCTCTGTTCGCAGACGCTATCATCTACCAAAAACTACGACCAATTGTAATAAATCTGGTCATATTAATCCAACGTTTTTGAAGCAAAAGACTTGGCCCCGAATGCTGAAGACTGCGCGCGCTTAATGTTCCTGCTTTCGGCAGGGTGCTCCGTTCTGCACGAGGGACTCCGCGGCGAGGCCCGCCGTAGCGAAAGGGTTAAACAGTTTTAACCTACCTACTGTTTCACGATATAAATCGGCCTACTCGTTTCCACCGTAAATTCATAAAAATCCATATCCGGTAATCCGCGATCTACGTTGTATTTTCTTACCGCCGTGGTGGAAATCGGATTCACTGCCGAGATCTGACTGGTCTGGCTTACGTCGCTGGTCAAACTGCCGGACGGAGCCGGGGAGGCGGAAGCGACGCTGGTGGTCGGAGACGCGGTCTTCGGGATCGGTGACCTGTTGACGGCCGGCGTCGACGTGTTCCCCAAAGAGGACGTGGACGCTGTGCTGAAGGCTGGACTAGCTGACGGCGGTGTGCCGAAGACGCCGACCGTGCTAGCTGCCGGAGCGTTCATCGCGCTCGGCGTCGCTGTGCTCGTTCTTGGAAGGATGGGGCTGAGGTTGGAAGTTTTGCTCAGGATCGGTGTTAACCTGTGGTTCAGAACCGGCGACGGTGACTCTTGCCAGGTGGTCCCGACGTGGTTCAGGTTGCTGAGATCGTCGTTTTTGTCGTTGTTGTTGTTATTGTTGTTGTTGTTGTTCAGGCTCGGTTCGTTCTGTAACTTCATCTCGTCCAGGGAACTGCTGCTCGTTACTACGGCGGAACACGGTCGTTAGTCTTCGAATTATCGCGACCGCAGGCAAGAATTGAACACTGGCAATAGAAGATTGTGTACCTGGCGGAGTGTTACTGGTAGAAGTGCTGATGAAGAGCTGTTTGGCAACGGAGCACGCTGTGCTCTGGGTGGGAAGCGGTCCGAACTCGTCGATGTTCGTCAGGAGAGAGAGACCCCGCGAAATCTGCTGGCACATCGCCGAAACGCTGTCCTGGCCCACGGGCGATATCTCCGGTATCGGACTGACTGCAAAAACATCGGCAACATTATCGATCTTTTCGCAGACTCTCGCGGCGAACATCGCAAACATTAACTCGATCGCTATCTAAATGCGGTGCTCTGAGCTGGTGCTCCAAACTACGGGTACATGCTGCAACACGGCCACGGTAAACACGCCCGGAGGACGTCTAACGGAAACGTACAGGTGGAGACTTCTAGATGGCAAACTTTTAGGATGGAGATGGTATCCAACAAAGAGGAGGAGTCGTTTCGAACGGGAGCGTCGGAAAGCTACGAGGACCAACTACGTCGTCTCGAAGAAAATCGTGTCCTTCGGTTTAGCGTTTGTTTTAATCGGTTCATCTCGTTCGACCGTTTAAACGAATCAACGATGTACATAATGAGAAAATTATCGATTGCTACACCACCGGATCAAATCTTGAACGAGCGTTTATCGTTTTCTCATTGCAAGGCATTATATTTCTAGATGTAAAAACGGGATCGATCGTAGAACATAGACCATCGGGGCAGGCAACATGGACACTTAACAGAATAGGGAATAATGACCTTCGTCATATCCTTCGAATTCTGTTGCAAAAACGGAGAAGCAGATTATTCGGTATCCAGTGTCAGTTCGAAAGTGCTAAAGCTCTCGGAACGAAATTGCACGAGGGATGCTCACCTGGTGGCTTTAACGGGACGATGTGGGACATGGCCGACGGTAGCCGCGCCAGGTCCGTCGGCTCGAGGCTGTGGCTACGCGCCCGTTCAAGGTTGCTAGGAAGATCGTTCACCCGCAAACTGAGCTGCCTTTTGAACGGAGAAGCTTGATTCAGTTGCGTGAAACCGCGGAAGGAACCTTGTCGTTCGAGCATCGACGGAGTGGCGTGCGGTCTCTCGATGGCGAAGGGGTTGTAGACTTGCTTCAACGGGGGTACGTCTACAACAGTCCGCAGTTTCAACGGCAATTAATAATTTAATATTTAATATTCGTTCGCGGTGGAAGTCACAAAAATTCCGTCACCGCTCGGTAATACACACAGTCGTGTGATAAAAATAACTTTCTTCAAATTGGACCAAACGAGTTGTTCAACTTCTTTCAACGCTAAACCTAGCATGCCGGTTAAAATGACGGTCTTGAACTCTGTCTTGGAAAATCATTTTAATCAAGCTTTACATTATAAATAAAATGGCGACAAGTACGAATCAATTCAGTCTTGTCATTCGCATAAAATAATACGCGTCAGTCGCTCTCAGGGCTCGGTAGAGGTTTAATATTTCAATGTTAGAAGGACTAAGACGCGATATACAAAAACTATTGCAAAAACAACGATCTTCGATCGTTTATAGCTGCATTCAAGTTGTCGGCATTTAAGTCAGCATGCGTTTAAGTTACAAAGCCTGCGAAGTGCATTGTTTAAATCGTCGTATATCTCGTTTCGCTCGATTGCAATTTTTGTACAAATTTTTGGTGCATCGTCCAGCAATCTTTTATCGTCTCAAAAAAATCCAGAGATCGTTTGGACCAATTTTACAGAAGTTATTTCTTTTTGGATGTACATAGTTTTTTGATATTTCCTATACGTGTATAATATGTTGCAAAGGATGGCGCAACTTTTACGGCGGCGATAGCACGCGAAATCTAAAGTCGAATGAAGGGATCGTAATCGAGAAGTAATTTCGAGAAGAACCGACCGACGGCTCTCTCGCGCGAGTCCTGCAGCCGTTCGGTGAGGCTCGGTTGCCTGAAGCTTCCGCTCCTCGTGAAGGTCGAGGTCTTCGAATCGAACGTCATCGTGACGCCGCACTCCTTGTCCCTTCTCTGCTTTCGTTCCAAACAGGCGGCAAAGGCGCAGCCCACCGCATGACTCAGACGTTCACCCTGAAAAAGGTGAAGACGTTAAGCTCCCGATCGAAGTTGCTTCACGGAAGATAGCTGTTCTACTCACCGACTCCTTCAGCGCGAGAAAACCGTGGCACATCCACCGTCTTGTAGTACCGTCCCTGCAAATGTAGCTGAATCCTTTCTCGTGGTTTCGATCCGGAGCGCAAAACGAGACCTTCTCTATCGTCTGGTCGACGATCAGCCCTTTCGTCTCGTCCTCGACGACCCTCAGACCGTCCCCTGACACGTGCAGCACCGCGCGAACCGGCCTTCGTCTCGAATTCTGCCGATTCATAACCAAGAAAATGAATATAAGCTGCGAGCTCTCTCCTCGACCCGTCGCATTAAATACCTCGCATATTCGTGTCACTTACTCTAAGTACTTTTAAAGCTTCCTCGCATACTTGCATACCCCTTGACTCGAACACTTCTACACATCCCAGGTACTGCAACGATCAGATTTATTACTATCGATGAATTACGAAAGGAAGAATGAATATTCGTTGCGCTATAACCCCCTATAATATCTTTCGATCGCATCGTTCCACGCCGTCGAGTTCATTTTGCTTCGGAACGATTGCATTATCGTTTAGCTCCTAAAAGGACGATACCTTAACATGGAAGGCGCAAGTAGCCGAACGGACAGCCGTCTCGTCTGCTTGCCATTGGTGGGGTTTGCTCGATTCCGGCACGTGGGAATCTTTCCGTCGCCGAAAGCTGTCTCGAAAGCTCCGCCGTAGTCGATCCATTCTTTTCCCAGGCGACCTCTCTCGCTTCTGCGCAAACACAGATACAAAACATAATTATTCCCTTGTCCATTTAAAATCAACCACGGCCAAGAAAATAACATCGGTCGTTTCGTTCTAACCGGATGCGGTGCTCGCAACGTAGCCGAGGTTCCACGAACCGTCCGCTGTGTTTTTCATCTTAACGCAACTTCTCGTCGAAATTTTACGGGTTAAATTATATCTATACAGCTTTAAGGAACGGCAAGCGAACCTCGGAAATCCGAGCACGATTTTCCAGTGAAATTTTTCCCGGAGAAGGGCGTCGAAATTCTCCGAAGAATTCAGCCGGAGGCTTTCAATTGTCGCAAAGAGCAGCCCCTAGAAAGCAATTTCGTGAAACGATGCGTCGTCGAGAAGATACGCCGCCGCGCGGATATCATCTCTCGCTCTGCTCGGCGTTTGCCCGTTTAAACGACCCCCTCGCGTGAAATCGCCGAGCCTCTGCGAAAGCTGCGAGCGTTCCCAGAGGACGAGCACTCCGCTCCAGGTTTCCCCGATGAGTCGTTAACAGTCAGCCTTGAGAAAATAGCCGGCCGAAAGAAGCCGGTGTCTGGCGACAACGGAGTCGAGCGCCGAGTCGTAGTTTTACAAAAGCCTGTGATCGAATCTTGGCATCGGTTCCCAAAGAATCTTTTATATCGAGACCCTCCTCGGGCTCTCCCCTAGCGCGGCTACCCTCCTAAATCGGCACCCCTAAGAACCGGTCGGCGGATCAAAAACCGAGGAAGCCCGTTGAGAAGGCCCCCCTGCCTCTTTCACGTTCGATCTCCATTACCGATGATTGCAACGTTGTTTGCAGTAATCGCTCGATTACCTCTTCGGTAGTCGACCGTATCGAAAATCGCATTGTTGCATCGGGAGACGGTGCATCGATATCCAAGTAGCTCTTGAGAGAAAGCAAAGTGTCTTGCAATCGATTCGCGATGATTTATTAAACGAAGTGTATAATGTTCCGTTGAAACTGCCGTGAAAACGGCGATCGGTAACGAAGAAGAATATCCGCTCGCGTAACTCCGTAAAATTCTGGTGCGGTAATGGTTACAGAAGCGGAGCATCGTCGCTGGCGAAGATAAGAGGGCGGGCCTTATCTCGCCCTTAAAATACGGAAACGCGTTAGCCTAGGCTTACACGATCCTCTCGCGTCAGATAAGAAATATCAACGAGATCATCTAAAAGCGTTCCCCGGCATGGTGGACGCTGCAAATATCTCGTGTAACCGTGTATGTATCGCGTACCAAAGCGGGGAGGTCGATTCCCAAGGGAGCGTCCTCTTTAATCCGCCTTTTTCATCGTCCCAACACCGGCCGGGCTGGATAAGCATCGACGCGATTTCTATTCAAATTCTAACCGACCCGAATAATTGATCCCGTCAAGGTTTCTTCGGGACGCGCAGGTTCCGCATAGAGAAAAGCTGATATCGATAACTCGTCGACGCGAAACAAAAACCGTTTGAATTCCAATTTTCTGCAGCGGCCTCGAATCAGCGGCTACAAACAGCATCGATCCCCCTGTAAATGTTGCATAGGCCACTCGGCGTTATTCGATCGCATCCGACGGGCGTTTCGCCGAACCGCGCTCGAAGACCAAGCAAATATTGTCACGTACGGGCAACGATCCGCTTTTCCGAGGATGAGAGCTCGCAAACAATAGACGCGCAGCTGTGTATCCGCGAAACGATGCGCTCCCTGTCAAAATAATGCACGGCCGGACAGCCTTTCTTCGCGTTTCGGTCGAGGAGCACCGGGGCTAATGGTTAAAACGCGCGAAAGTAAGCACTCTCGACGCAATCCGATTATTCGGGCTATTTGCTTAGAGTGGTAATAGGCTTAGCAATGCGTTAGCGCAGCAGCGACGCGACTCGACTCGACTCGACTCGACTCGATTCGATTCGATTCGATTCGACCCAACCCGACCCGCTCTCCCTATCATCGCCCCGAAGAGATAACCGGCCGGAGGAGTGTCCGTAAGTGGCCGTGCGCCGCGCCGTTCGATTACAGCTGTCATCTGCCACCGGATCGATGACGTTTCATAATTATGTTCTCGCGGGGCTTATTTTCACAGAGTCCCATGCCTGCGCGATTTGGCAATATGGTATTTATTCGGCTATCGATTCGAGCGCGGTACATTTATTCATCGGTGTTTAAGTGGCATGAGGAAAAAAACCGGAGAAGCCGGGTGTGAATCAGTGGATCGACTCGCGTGGAATGCTCTCTCACGGTAGTATCTTCGACAAGACTTACGACTTTCTTTCGCTACAACTTCGGACACGAGCCGAGCCGCGGTGAGTCAGCTCTTCCAGTGGCTCGGAAATTTTTCGAAATATTACGAAACGTCGTCGTCGACGAGCCTCGCACGTATCTCGAGAACTAAAACCGCTGATGCCAATTTCCCGAATAACCCATACTCGAACGGCCGTGATTTATCAAAGTTCTCGGGGAGATACGTCGACGAGGGTCGTTCGTCCGGCACAGCCGCAGAAGACCGCGTTTTTCAAGGAGGCCGTTCCGAGGCTCCCGGTCCGCGTTTTCCTTTAAAGTCATCGTTCAATTAGGTCTCCTTCTCGTACCAGCCATGTTAATCATGCGATTTGATTGTAGGCCGGGCATCGTTATTCCGCGTCCCATTGTTACGACGTTCTCAGCGGGAAAGGTCAAATCGAAGTAACCGTACGTTTCGCGATTGCATTACGTGTGGTAACCCGATACATAAGGAGAAAAATGCGGCGATCGGCATCGATGCGTAACGATGAATCGTCGCATTAGCAATTTAGATCGATTCCGGACCCCGTACATAAATTGTGCAACGAATCTGCGCGCGTCTCCGTTATTAAATCAGCGGCTCCGCGGACCGTCGGGAATACGTTTAGGAAATTTTCGAGTCGAGCTTTTCTTATGCATAAATTGCCCGGCTCCGTGATTAAATTACAAGTTTGCGAGTGCCTTTAAAATTCGATGAAAAAATTGTCAAGTTCGCCGCGTTACGGTCCACCGATACGGAAGCGCCGTTTAAGATAAAAGCAATATTACCGGCTGGAAAGGAAGCGGCCTACGAGCTCGCCAGCTCGAGGCTCTGAAACTTCGTTCAAGCGGATGTTCCGGTCTTCGAGAGAAAGCTTTCCGTTCTCTCTAAGGGCGATTTTAATATCGCCCGTTCGACATCGCGGGGAGTGCCGTGAACTCGACGACGACTCGCTAACGGCAGGAAATTGCGGCGCTAGATCGACCTGCCTACATTTTGACATGCACGAACCGTCTGCATGCACACGCACGCACACGATAACCGCAGCGCATTCTCCTCCGCCGCCATATTTCCTTTCACGACTCAAGGTCGAAACGGCAACGTTTACCGTATGCACCGGGCACTCGGCTAAAACGCCGCGAATGCAGATACGCGACCTCGCCTACTTATCTGCCAATTAATGGATTTTTACGGGGGATCATTACCAACGATCACTGTCACAATTCCACGGTGGCGCGATGCGACTCGACCGTCGCCGTTCGCATTCCACGAGTCCTTGTTACAACTTCCAAGAAACTTAGTCACGAACTCTATATCGAAACTTTCGACAAAAGTTTCCTCTCGTATTTGCCCACGGTCCGCATCGATACGAACAACGCCTGCGGAAATCGTGCGGTTCGGCTTGTAAAATAATTTCAGTTTCCAACATTTATGTAACCACGAGAAATCTTCGAGGAGGCGAAACGAGGTTCGCCGTTCTAATTTCGATGGGGCGAGAATGGCTACGAAAGGAAAAATCCAGTTATAGATCTGTCGCGATTCGAAATAGGAACGAAGGGGGTGCGTCGAGGCAATTTAAAATTTAGAATTTACTTACATACACGGGCTTTGGACCTTTCAACGACACCGAAGGTATTAAAAATACTACATCGATTATGCAGAAGCTATACATTAATAGAAACTATACATATACAGCTGTAAAACGTTACATTTCAATTCTGAAAATGTACAAAAATAGCTGAATAATCCGCATAATTTATTCACAGTACTGAAAATTCTATTCGTGCAATTGTATCGGCCGCAGTGTTAGTTCTACGAAACTCTCGTCTTCGCAAAGAATGGCAACCCTGGTGGAAGTATTCGAGCTGAAATGGGATAAGATACCTGGACTAGATTCGATGCAAAACAAGTACGACCCAGTTAGATTTGGCACGGTCGAGGGTACATACTGTCCGCGAGAAATCAGTTGATCGTGGTTTTTACCGTCGAGCCGGAGCTCGAGCCGAAACAGTTCGAACACGATTGCTGGAAGCGGGTGAAGCACGAGTGTAAAAGGAGTCACTAAAGAAATCCCGACAATGAGCGACCGGCCTGGCATCGCTCCCTTCGGGGTTACACGCCGATCGAAGCCACGGATCTCCTGGTCCCTGACGAGGTGTCGTGACCTAAAAAGCCACCGGTGAAAGCCGGTACACATTCACGCGGTCCTCTAACCGTTCGTTGACCGGAGACACTGGATTCTGTTCTCGTAGCTCCGATCGCGGACGCGGACCAACACCTCGATAGCGGCTCTTCTGTGTAGCCGATCTGACCCCCACCTGCCCTCCCGTGTAACGCGACTCCAGATCCACCAGGAGATCGTGCGCGAACTAGGCGATCGACGAATCCCGTCTCGGGCCGCGAAAGGTCTCGGGAGAAATTTCGAGGTGGAAACTGGAAACGAAATTCCGGGCGCGAGGCAGCTTAAAGCGAAGAGGACGATCGGCCGACGGAGCGGACTCGTGTTCGAACGAAGGATACTCGATGTTGCGCGCACTCTCCCCGAACGAGAGTTTCCCACATCGCGCTGCTAATTACGCTAATTACATTTACGCACGGAGAATAATGTTCCTTTATGATCGACCATTGTTCTTCCACGCTAAAAGGAGACATTCGATCGCGTGATTAGCACGCTTACTTTCCAGCCCGCTCTCGGGGCGAGACAAAGCTTTGCGAAACCACGCGATGTCTCGTTTGGAGCAGACACGACT